GCTCACTTTCCAAGTTGGAATGTATCAAAATGGAGTTTACGTGTAGAGTGAATAGGCCTTCTGAATTCCGAGCGTAACTTATGACACACTTTGTACCCAAGAGATCCATCATGCTCGACACAGGCTTATCCAAAGCCGCCGATAATTGGTTTGTTAAAGACGAAACGGGTAGGTTGAATGATGAATAGCCGGAACCTGTGAAGTAGTTGCCACTTATGTGTGTGGCAGTGAACAACACGTACAAACTATCCAAGGTGAAATTTCCGACAGTATCGATGTCGAATGCCTTCAATGCCATGTTTCTAGGGACAGGTGCGTCCACTTGAATTACTTGGAACATTGCAAAAGACATGTTGTCGTGAAACAGATTGACGAATCGTTCTCTAATGGAAACTTGCTGTTGTTGTGAAATGTTGAGGTAGAAGTGACCGTCTCGGAGCATGTCGATGCTGTTCACGTTGATTCTCTTGTCCTTCAAGTCAACGAGATTTCCCCCTCTGTATCTGTTTCTGCTCACCCTGTTGACGGATTCAAATCTGCTAGGATGAGAGTATACGTAGAGGTAGGCGTTTCTCCGAATGAGAGGTAGTAGATGAAACGGATCGGATAGGTTCTGATTTGATTGCGGACCCACGGGACCTCTGGCTCCTGGAGGACCTATGGGGCCGACGATTCCTTGGGAGCCCACGGGACCTCTTTTTCCAGGAGGACCGGTTGCACCGATGGTTCCTTGGGGACCGACGGGGCCTATGGTTCCTTGATCACCTTGCACACCACGTTCACCTTGTGGGCCGTCTTGTCCATCTTCTCCTCTAGGTCCAATCTCGCCTTCAGGACCGACTAATCCACGTTCTCCACGTGGTCCAACTTTACCTCTGGGACCACCTGGACCAGGTATTCCTTGATCACCTTTTTGACCACGTTCACCACCTTGCCCATCAGCTCCTCTAGGTCCAGTCTCGCCTTCAGAACCGATCAATCCACGTTCTCCACGTGGACCATCTTCACCTCTTGATCCATGAAGCTGACCGAAAGCCATCCATTTCGAGCTGAATTTCTTGTACACGATCAGCGTGGTTGCATCGAGGTAGAAGTCACCATTTCTCCCTATAGAGTTCAGTGGCGTACCACCTCCGCTAAGCCATCCCAATCCCCGATCACCACGAGGACCTTTCATCTTGCGCACACCGTCGATGTCGTGTTGCAATCTCGATGAGGATTGACGGATTTCATTCTTGACCCAACCGGCAGGGACAGCACATGTCAAAGAGCTATCATCGTACGCCAAATTACAGATGGAATGCTCGTTCATGTCGAGGTTAGCATCCATGGACACGGATCCGTCTGTTTTAACGTGCAGCTCATCAGCTGCTATGGCTTGATCTGTGTAGCGCGTAGATCTGTTTTCCACATCTTCCACTTTGCTCTCATCGGCTTTCTCCTCTTTTAGTTTCTCCACATCATGAACCAAGGTGTTTTCGGTGTCATCGTTCCCCACAACCGATTGCATCTCGATAATGTCATTCCGCATGCTTTGCATGTGTTTGAGGGAGGCCTCATCACCATCACTCCTATGGAAATGCGTAGCCCAGTACGCCATCTTCACACACACACACTGTACTAATTATGAAAGGAAATATTTTCTTTCTCAAATAAATCTTTATGATGCTCATAAGAACAGGTAAACAACAGGTAATGCACAACAAACAAGAGCCACAGTCATCGTGTTGATGAGTCGACCGTTCATCCTCCTCCTCGATTGTTCATGAATGTGTTTCATGAGGAAATCTCGTGCTAACAACACCTTCGCACGATCGCCTTTCCGTGCCAGCATGTCCAACAGAGTGACTGAATATGCCAAGGTCATCTCCAGGGCAACGACGTCGTTTGACGCATGACTCCATAAACCTTCCATGATGCCGCATATGCAACTTTCAAGTCGTTCAGCTTGTTCACGATCACCATCGCCAACAGTAAAGCTCGCAGCATACCTGAGAATGTCAGGTCTCTTCATAGCGACATGTTTAGCAGATGTCCACGCGTGAAATAATGTCGAATCACGAACGAACAAATGGTCAATGGCAAAGGCATGACGAGTCTCCGAGCATTCACCTTCATCCTTTGCGTATGTTGCAAGAACATGGTCAGCAACTCGTACTAGCAGATGACACACCTGACATTCGTGAGTCTTGTGATCAGCCGATCCGTTAAGACTCTTTGCAACGTGAAACCATCTCTCGTAAAGGGAATTCATTTCCTAGAATGCGAAGACACGAGGCAACTGATCAGTACTGTATCGGGTGAAGGAATGACTCAACTGCATGCCAAGCATGCATATTTATACAAGTCAGAATGGGGTGGGTTGAAAATGCAAAGTTGTCAACCAATTACCATCAAGCCCGCCAAAAACAGATGATGGAACCTTGACATGATTGATCTTGTCATGAATGACGCATTCCTTGATGGTGTTCACATGAGATCACCCTGGTTCATCTTTCCCAATTCCATTCTTTTCACATCCTGCAACCCATTCTCCACTAGTAGCAGTGGGAATACTAGAGTCCGAAGAGGCAAGGCAGCACTCTTCCGTGGACGTACTACTCGACACAACACCACCCATACTTGTTCTTTAGAAAGTTTTTTTTTTAAATGAGTATCATGAGATATTGTCGTAGAAAGTAGTATAGGATAGAATAAGAATGAATGATCAGCTGTGTGATAAAGAAGGCAGTTCATTAAAGACTTATTGGAAGGTCTCTACCAGCTGATCGTCTTGTTGGACGACGACACTGCATAATGATGTGAAGCTCTCAGTCAGCTGTTTCAGCTCCGTGATAGAAAGTGTCATGTGTGCGTCCAGAGCACGATGAAAACATCTGGGTTCCACATTGATGCAGATGATTGGAGCAACAGCAAGACGTACCTTCATCACTTGCTCGTCAGTGTCGAGGGAGACTGCCCCGGGGTAGATGAATACATCTTGTTCCACATCCAGTTCAAACGAGCTGGTCGGGACTAGCTTGTTTTCACCGTTGATGTACACCCGACATTAACCGTCGGACGAACGTGATGCATAGAAGTTGGTCTTGATTTTCTCCACACGTCCACTTCGGAGAGTGTCACGGAGTGATGGACAAGTCTTGATCAAGTTCGTAATGATGAACTCAGTGGACTCGTTCAGTTCGATGTAAACTTGTCCTTGAGCATCTTTGCGAGCTGTTGCCGTACTACCACAGGCTGGCAGAGCTCCCGAAGGGAAGTACATCTTATATCCAGGCTTGTAGAAGGATTTACCCGATAACTTGTAGGACAGCTGCATGTCCTCCTGAAACCCATCCACCACAATCTCTTTGTGGAGCTTGGTAGGAGCAGGTGATGCATAGCGACGCTTAGCCGGTACTGGCTTCGAAGAGAGCACAACTCGAGGAGGGTCAGCAGGAAGAGCGGAATTCTTCCTCATCCTTCGCTCGTATAGGGAAGCCATCTTCTAGGAAGTGAATTCAGGACAACTCGTCAGCACTGTACTCGATGAATGAATGACTCAACTGCAGGACAATCATTCGTATTTATACGAGTCAGAGAGGGAGGTGGATTGAAATGATAAGATATGTGTCAACCAATCAAGCCCGCCAAAAACATTTGACCAATCAGCATCAAGCCCGCCAAAAACATTTCACCAATCAGCATTAAGCCCGCCAAAACATTTGACCAATCAGCATCGTGTCCGCCAAAATCATAACTCATCATACAGATTCCTTACATGATACCGCCGCCTTAGCGAATTGATACAGTATGGAAAGAAGATCGCAGTCAAACGTGTGCATGTTCTGGATCACGTGATCAAGTGAATAGGTTTCCCAGCAAAAAGCATCAATCAATGATGTCATAAGAGATATATCAGATGGAGATAAAAGCAGCAAATTCGAACGCAACGTAGACAATTGCAATGAAGACACCATCCTAGTCGACTCCATGAGATGCAGTACGTATAGGAGTGGGAAATGCTGAGGAAGAGGTTTCATGATTCGACTGAACCTCAACCAGGATACATTGCTATGAGGTAAGTAGGAATGCAGTTTACGTAATGCATCCACATTCGTATCGTATACTATACAGGATGCTATAGCATAATTTATACTCGTGTACAAACAGGACTTCTTCATCGCACGTATCTGCTCTCGAAGAGGGTGTACACGAAGCTGATCAGATAAGAGTTCAGTTTTCGAAAGAAAATGCAAAAGATGACGATCCACACCACATAACCGCTCATGCGCAGCGTAAGGCTTCTTCATGACTACATCTCTGATGTACATCAACTTCAGGTAAGTAAACCACATCCATGACAAGTCCACAAGAAGAACATACGTATCTTCCTTCGTGAACAACATGATCAAGATGATGACACTGCTTTTCCTTCCCTTCTTCTTCTTCTTGCTCTCCTTCTTGTTCTTCTTCTTCTTCTTCTTCACGAAGTCTCCTTTCATGTACATAGGCACGTAAGATCTCAAATTCAAAATCCATCTTCACCCCACATCATCATCTCCATAATGAAACATTATCCAACAATGTATCTACTTCTTATACCCACTCCTATCCGGGGGTAATAGCAAATACTCCTGAAAAAATAAATAAAAAATGAACAGAATAATGATTAAGACGATAAGTGTGCCTTATTTAACCCTAAAGGTCAAAGGTCAAACCCTGGGGGGAGTCCCGGGGCCACACCAGGCCAAGCACGACCGACACAGTGTGCCTTATTTGGCCCAAAGGTCAAAGGTGAAAAATTACCCAGAACCGGCTTTATACATACTACTCTGGCATAAGTGTACCCACCAACCGAACTAGCTGGCACACACACATTATATCCCCGTAGACACCTTTTGTCCTTTGATCACCTGCACGCATAGCGGACGTTAAAGCATTTTTGTCCCCCAGAAAACTTCCTAACAACCAAACCACAGTGCTGACTTTCAGCAATACATTCACTACCTTTCCCTTACGGCATGCCCAGTTGACCCTGCCGTCAATTCAGACTTCTCCAGCAGGACAACCGCGGGATAGTCATCGAAGTCATCGAATGGCGGATCCAGCTTTGCCAGGTGATAGGCTATACTAGTGCCGACGACTCCACCGCCTATCACCACAACGTTTGCTCGATCCACGGTGAGCTCCGCACTACTACTTGTAGCAGTGCGAGAGGGCTGCATCCGAGCGAGGGGACTGGGCCTGAAGAGCAACAAGACACACAATAAACAGCAGGTGTCTTAACCGAAATTCGGGTACAGTCGTCCCTCTTTAATCCAGCACCTTACTTTGAAGCATAAACCAGAACCCTCTATTAACCAGCACAATTTTCAGCAGCTAGAATGTCCTCTTCATGCACGTTGCAGCAGTAAATCAGATTTTTTAATCCAGCACCCTCCCTAATCCAGCAGAATTTCCGGAGCACACATGCTGCTGGGTTATAAAGGGACCACGATATCACAAGTCTAAATTGCTGCTCGTGTATGTGGCTAGGCGGCAATGAGCATACAAATAAGTGGATGAGATATTCTCGGTCTGGTAGCCACCCAGCTTTTATTCAGGCAGCGTGACCAACTACAGGTCAAGATATCAACACAAAATGCCGCAGATACGCAACAGATCTGCCGCTGATCAATGTTAATCGCTGACGACTGCCGTAGAATTCTCAGAAAGGCTGTTGTCCTTGGCTGACAGCTATGTGTTTGGACATTGATTCTTCTGCTACAAAAGTACTACTGCACTTGTTTGTCACACTCAAGAAAAGAACAAGTTTTAGGCTCCTCACAGTCAACATTATCAAAGCTTTTCACGCGAACATGTACTTTCACAGCCCTCTGATCAGGTGTGATATATAGGCAAAAAAACCTGATCAAGTACAATGATTCAAATACAGCAGAGATGTATGCGATAGAAACAGCACAACGAAGACTTCAACAAGCCAGTTAAAATTCACAGATATTAAATAGAACGGGGCAAGCAGCCGCTGAGTACAACCCTGTACAGATTTTCCATCGTTCACCGCACCACAAATGCGCTCTCCAGCCGACCTCGACACGTTGCCACAGCACGCCACCACCAGCAGCAAAGCGACACATCCCGGTTGGGACTGAATTCCTTCATGAGTGTGGAGGTCAGCTGGAGAGCGCAGTTGTGGTGTGGTGGACGATGGAAAATCGGTATACCAGGTATAATCAGAGTAATGAAAACTCGGATTGGATTGGAAGGTTGTTGGTTTGCGCTTCGTAGATGTGTTGGAACTAGGACGGTGCCATGTCTTCGAATGTCTCAATATCCTTGTCAGTTGTGCGCCTTGTTGTCACACTGTCTGACTGTATTATTATTTCGTTACCTTGGTTACCTTGGTTACCTTGGTGGACTGTTAGTCATAACTAGTAACTTCTAGGTTCTTTTCTCTTTACCGAAATCAGAGTAATCATAGCGTATGGTAAATAGATTTCTTTTCAAAGAAATTTGTTTCGTTTGCACAACGAAATAGTGGCAGCGACTTCGGTGACAATAGGCCTTATTTGACACTATTATTTTGTGCTGATGATTTATAAACACTGTGCTAGTAGCTAGCTGGACACTCGATGTATGCTCCCCTGGAGACATATTGTAGTACTAGCCCTCTTCACAGTGTAGAGGCGACGGTTTCAAATAGGACACAGGTTGCAAACCGGAACGGACTCAATATTCACTTTCTCTCTTGGTATTTTGATTAGAAAACATATGTCACAGTGAGACTGCGATGTGTTACTGTAAAAGCAGAAATTTTCGGTGGTGTTTTATTTTCGGTAACTTCGGTGCCGACAATTTTTACCGAAAATAAAACGCACCGAAATTTTCGGTACAACCGATACTGTGTACTAGTACACCTACCTGGAGAACGGGTTTTACCGAAAATTTCCCGCTACCGAACCGCCGATTTTGGCGAATACCGAAAATATTACACCACCGAAAATTTCTGCTTTTACAGTATACTCCGAGCCAAAATTTCATGGCTCTGCGATGACCAGAAGCGCCATACCAAGCAGGTGAGTTTTTGACGTGTTGCTTCACACTGCGACTTGAGTTTTACGACTTTCGAAAAATCAACTTCTTGTCGCAGGTAAACAGCGGCTCGCCCCTCGCCAATAAAGCACCGCATACCAATCAAAACTAATGGAAGCACACACACGGCTTATTGTTACTCTGTACTGGCCGTCGTGGAGCGATAGCAATTACCTAATTTCAGACCCAGGGTGAATTTGACGTGCACTCTAAAACGTGTCCGGTTTGGAGCCATCTCTGATTTGAACTTTTTTGAAGCGAAAAATTGGGCAACTTGGAGGCAATGGGTCAACACAAAGGAGTGGCTCAGTTCGATTGACTCTGGCCCCAGAGCAAACTTCAACATGCCAGTTTCCTTCCACAAACATAATTATTTCGAGTGAAAAATCCACGCTGATGATCGGTTTGGGTCTATACAAATTTGGCTGTCAAAGCGTTCCGGTATCGAACCGTCTACTCTACCAGTGGCAGTTCACCACTGCCTGCTGGCGACCCTACTCCATACATAATAATAGTATACCGTAGTTCCAAGCGTATAAAGCCATGGCGGTGTATCCGAATATAAGGCCACCCTCACTTATAAAGCCATGGCGTTATATCCGAATATAAGGCCACCCTCACTTATAAAGCCATGGCGTTATATCCGAATATAAGGCCACCCTCACTTATAAAGCCATGGCGTTATAAGTGAACAAAATTCAATGTGGAGGAAGTTGCATCTGGCGTTTTAAAGGTGAGTTCAATTCTTTCAGTGAACGTACAGTAGCGGTGATTCTCTCTATATGTACCCATCCCCACTGTCACATGCCATACCGCCACCGCACCTTCACACAAGTTTGTACGCCACCTTGTACACAGTAGGTTCACAATTTGAAATTTGAAAGTACATGGATGCTCGACACGAACGTGCAACGGCACCGTACGAGTACTCGAAGTTCACACTCTGCCGATTTTTTTGCATGTACGCGTCTCTCACTTTTAGCGCCATGGCGTTAAAGCCGAGGCTATTTTCTCCAAAAATTTGGTCCAAAATAGCGATGTTTCAGTTTCACCCACGGCTGTCAAGAAGCGGCAACTTAGAAAGATGGCGTCGGTTCGAGATGGCATGGTAACCGCGCACGTGCCGTGGTCCGTGACTTGCTCATGTATGCACGCAAATGCAAGTCACAAACTCACAAAGAAGAGTCGTCTTTGCATTTGGAGAAAATATCTTCGACTCTCTTTGGAGGTTGGCGAGGTTTGCCTAATCTTTACTTGATTGCGATGCCGGTATGTTCTCTCAATAATTAGAACAAAGAGAGCTGATGATCGCTTCATTGCTGAGCAGAAGTAACAATCAACTCTCCTCATGTCCTCAGCGCCAAAGGCAGACGACTGCAATTCCACAACGCTCGTTTCACGATGATGGAAACAATAATCGTGTACTAGTACACACTTGGACCATTTGGTCATCCCTGTTCTAGCCGCTAGTCCGTCCAGCAAGTAGATATTGACTATTACGATAAGGACAACTGCGTGAACGAGGGCTCGCCCAGCAAATTCAATTCAAGACGTGACTCCAGTCAAGAATTAGGGTCTTTACTCGAGAAATTCACAAATACAAGTCAAGGCACCCCACAAAACTGATAGATGGCACGAACGACGAACGAAGACAAATAGGCTAGACAAAGTGTCCCAAGTGATTAAAAACAGCAGATCTACCAAATAAGAGAGCTACATGTGCCTAAACAACGATTCCCATACAGTAGAGAGTAGTATCAGGCAGAATGAAAGCCTTGGAAGTGCACAAATACAGCCACGACCGCCACAAAAAAATTCTCATTGCTCTACCTCCTTGAAGGGTGAAAGTTACCAGTTATCCTATAGCGATGTCAGTTTATGCCTGTTGGAACCCCCCACAGCCCGCACGAAATACCTTTCAAATAATTCCAGGATGCAATTGCAGCTCCAGACAGGAGGAAGAAGAACACCGTGAAAAATAACGGCAACGATGCCCAAATTCTCGGGAAACAGCTGAAGTCTTCCTGAAGATGTTAACATTGAATAGCCATCGATTACCAGCGTGGTTTGGTGACTTTAGAACTGTTTTGAGACTTAGAACGAAGCGATATCTCAAATTTGATGGAATTGTTACCTGTCAAATGCGTGGGCGAGCAGGCCAGCTGACTGGTTATGCATGAACATGCATGAGCATGCATTGATTTTTCATGGCTCACGTGCAGAAAACTAAGTTGCCTCGATCCAAGTGCAGCTAACAGCCGTGCACCTACAACGCCATGGCTTTATATGCGCGGAAATACTGTATGCCGGAGTCCAATATGTGCAATTCACCGAGCTGAGTGGCCCGGGTATGATTACGATTGCGTGGAATATCGAGAGCATAGGATTGGACATACAATGATACACTAATATTGTACATTGTACGGACCTCTCCACACGTTCTTTTTTAATCTTTATTGCATTTAGCTGTTGTTGAAGCACATCGCCTTTGGACATTGTCTATTACATGTACTGATAGGCACTGTATTACTAATAGTAATAATGACCGGGCACATTAGCTCACACAGACCAGTCAGCCTGAAGTATAGCGTTTTTTCTATTCCACAACAATAATATTATTAATTTTTAAAAATGCTGGATTCCTAGATCAGAAGCAACAACAAAACTGACGTGCAGGACACAAGTCACTTCTAACCTTGCAGCCATCGGGCCCAATAGTCTCTGTGCCCATCGTAGCTGACTCATGTTGACTGCAGCTTCAGTCAGAGCGCGCTAGGAGGAGACGACGACGCAAACTCTGAAGCTTTGCTCGTTTCACCAACGGACAGCGGCTGCACCCAGTAAGAGCGGTGGGTCAATGGGCACGTAAAATCGTTACGTATCTCATCAGTAGAGGATAATAATGATGATGATGGAGGAATGATCATTCTTATACACCAGAAATGGCGCAAATGCGCGCTTTCCACATATATCAATGGCATATGCAAGCTGCTAAAATGGTAAAGTGTGAGAACAGCGATAAATAATCATAGTACTCGCTCATTGGTGGAGAAACACACCACACAAGCGACGAAAACCTGACGCGGAATACTGATGCCAATGGAAAGTACATGTATGTTGTTTATTATTATGATGTTGCAATGTCCATGTATGCAGGCCAGGCGAGACTCACCGCCGAGATCCCCCAACGCGACCCGGGCTCGGTTGCCGTTCAGGATTCACACCGACCTGTCCGCCCGTCAACAGGATCGACACGGCGGGAGGCCCCACTGATGCCGATGTCGATACACACCAGGAAACTTGTAGTCGTGAGTGTGATACTAACAGGTCTAGTAGCAACCACTGACAAACGAGAGGCCAGCTGGGGCATTCACTCCAGTCAGGGATGCTTGGTCGACGCTTCGTATCAGCAGCTCAGCTCAGTTTGATCAAAGATGTTGCAGATGTGTCTTGCTTTCCTCCTTCCTTCTTCACCGACTCGTCTTGTCACCTCTCCTTCTTGCTTCACCGACTCTTCGTGTCCACTCTGCTCTGCCACTAACGGCGCATTAAAACTTCAGAACTAAATAAATATTGCGACAGAGCTTTCGGCCATATTTTCAATTCATTCCCAACTCACAGCGCTCACAGCCTTGCCTACTTCTTCAAAGTGAGCTCCACATGTACGTTGACCTCTTCACACTACACAGAAGAGCGAAACAAGGATTATGGCTTAGCACTTCGACTCCAACAGCAGAACATTCAGTGCGAGGGAGAAACCCACACAAATATTTGCTTTCTGTCGGATCGTCTCTCTTGCATGCAACTAACGAGAAAACCGTGTACTTACCCCCGCATTCACACGCAAACTATCAAACACATCCTGTGCTGCATGCTGATCGGGTAGTGCCATGTATGTGTTGTACAGTGTACTCTCAGGTGACATGCCCCCTTTCGAACCCAGACAATCTTTTCGGGATTGGTGGGGGGGGGGGCTGGAAAGTGATGACGTGACGTCAAAAACGGCCTGGGAGTAGTAAGTTGATATCAGATTTCTATTTTGGATCCACTAAGGTGTGACTTTGCCTCAGTATGTGGGTGCATAGCAACCCACTCATGTCGTATGCAGGTGCGACTTTACTTCGCCACCAGTTGTCACCCCGCCCCCACTAGCCAAATCAGTCAGTTTCACTGGCTACATCACCTTGCTGTGAGTAAGACCGCTTGAAATGTGCTTGGATCCATACAAAAACTGGATCCAGGTGGATCCAGTTTTCAAATTTTTCAAATTGTTGCTATGCCATTGCTATGCTGTGACGTAGCACTTTCAAGCCCTAAACACAAGCGCTGCGCGGACCACGTGAACCGTTCTCTGCAAATAGAAACATCTGCAACAAAAGGATACAAAAGATCTGCACTGACTGCACTCTGCATCTGATCTGCAGTGAAGAGCGCATCGCACTTTTGTTCGTAAGTTTATGAATTTTTTGAGCCGCTTCATCTGTCATAGCCCGAGAGTGAGGGCTTGTAACTTTTAACTACTGCTGATAGCTACTGTGCGTAGAACGTGGACACACTGTGTCTTCCGGACCGTAGTTGGAACAGTTATTATACAATATAATATACGGTGTGTGCCGGCGAGGTCACCTACCCAGTGAGACTGTAAAATGATAGGTTTTGCTGCTGTCAATAGATGAAGCGCACGACTGTGCCTTTGCAGTAGAAAGTGCAATGTACCTGTAGTTATGAATTCGCTTTATAGTAGTAGTACGCTAGGTGTGGATGTGCGTGATTGCACCTGCTTGACCATTGACTGGCTATGCTTTTAATCAAGTACATGTTGCGGTCCAGACGCCGGGTCTAGGCTTGCCCCGTTCTAATACCCTTTCACACTTTGCGTATCTTATGATGACAGCCGCTTCTAGATCACGCAGACCTGTGCGTGTATGTGTGTGCGTGTGCGTGTCCGATCGCCGTTCCGCGCAGCGGACAAAGTGGCAGTTCAGCTGCATGTTTAGCAAGTACTATCGCTACTGCCGCTGCTTGCTGTTTTCTACGATGTGTTATATCATGGCATGCTGCTGCTTTTAGCGAGAGGTTCTTTCGGTGCTCTTCTTCCAAACAGGAACATATTCTCTGCTCTGACGAGATCAGTTGGTTATGTGTGTGTTGGGTTAGGACTGGGTGAAGTTGCGTTATGCCAGCCGTGACTATACTTGTCACAAAACGTTCCGAGGGTTAGAGACGACACAGCCATGGGCGAGACTAACCGGAACACGCTCCCCGAGCGAGTTACCACAAGTGGTGCTGTGACCAGGATGGCTGGCAAGAACGAGGCAACAAAGTTCACCATTCCTAGAAGAGGCGCGAAGATCTCGGCCAGGCGCTTGTAGACGGTGCAAGCGCAGTCTAAGTATATTGAAGATGTTCAATGTATCCTGCCTCACTACTGGTTGTGTTGTTGTGGGTGCGGGAACTGGCCTCCACCAGGGAATAAAGAGGTTTGTTCTCTGTTGTGCTCGATTGGCATGGCGCAGTGATGACTGAGCTGCCTTTTGTGATGAGAATTGCATGCTGCATGATGGGCATACAGTTCGTAAGGAGGGGTATGGATGTGTCGTATCTCTCTAGTCTGTTTGGTCTAGTCCTCAGGCTGGGATGCCAGCCGGAGTGATTAGGGTGAACTATTGGCGGCCTTGTGCGCGAGGAATCATGGCATGATGTTGAGAGGCATGCAAGATGCGGCTTGCACTGGTCGGCTAGGCTAAATGTGTGATGAACGGGAATCCGGATGGCGCACGAGGCTACGCGAGATGTCGCGAGTCAGGCGTGGGATCGGGAAACCTGATGCGACGGTGGTCGCTTGGCATGTTCACACGGCGGTTAGGGTTACAGTGGTTGAGTACGCTGTGCCCACGTGCAATTGGGGTGTGCACTCGTAGGCGCGCGCGTGCCGTGATCGGACGGCAGCGGCGTGGCTGAGTATATCAGGCGAGCTGAGGCGAAGAGGACTGAGTTCTTCGCGGATCAGTCGTCCTGCTAGCACTATTTGTCTACTTTGCTCGTTCTTTTGCTGTGTTGACGATGGCTCAGCAACAGCAACAACAAGGCAGAGGTGTGAATGCGCCTGCTGAAAATGTTCATCAACCGTTAGTAGCTGGTGGTGCTGCTGCGGTGGGTGGCCCTGGTGCAGTGATGGCTGCAGCAGGGGGAGCGGTAGCTGGTGCTGGAGGAGCGCCAGTTGCTCCAGCCTTCGGGAGGCCTGCGGTGATGCCCGAGGCCTACGATGGTTCCGGAGACTGGGTGGAGTATATCCAGTACTTCGATCAGTGCGCGCAGGTGAACGGGTGGAATGACCCGCAGAAAGCGCAGTACTTAGCGGTACGCCTCAGAGGTGGGGCGCAACGCTTTTTGGCTACTATACCGGCTGCAAGACGGGCCGTATGGCAGCATGTGAGTGCGGACCTTGAGCGAAGGTTCGCACCACCTGCTAATGAGCGGCAGTTTAAGGCTCAATTCCGCACGAGGAGGCGTAAATCCGGTGAGGATTTAGCGCATCTGGCGGATGATCTGCGTCGGCTGGTGGTGCGGGCGTACCCCAACATGCCGGGTGGGTTACAGGATGAGCTGGTGAGGGACCAGTTCATCGAGGCGGTATCTCCTGTGGCTTTGAGAGTGAGGCTGCAGGAGAATCCTCCGGCGACGGTGCAGGCGGCATTAGAGATGGCGCTGCACCTGGAAAAGGTTTGGCGAAGTGTTGACTTGCCAAGCGAAGCTCCGCAGAGGCTGGTGGGCCCCTACGGAGAGAGCCCGCAAACACAGTTGGTGACGGCCGCTGTGGATGTTGCTGAGGCTCCAGCGAGAGGACAGACGGACGTCCTCGAGCGTACTTTGAGCAGCCTGGTGAGGACGCTCGACCAACTACTGGAGAGGCGTGATGCTCCAAGTGGTCAAGGAGGGCGAGGCCGAGGAAGAACTCGGGATCAGGAGCCCGCTCGACGAGTGAAGATGTTCACTTGTTGGAACTGTGGTGAACCGGGCCACAGGGCAGCCCAATGTCCTCGTGAAGCGCAGACGGGGCGCGGAGGATACGATGGCTCGAGGAGAGGGCCTTTGGGAAACGGCCAGTGACTGGGGCGATGGCCCACGTGCCTGGTCAGACCATTTCTTTGGGTCGAGAGTGTAATCCGGCAGCACCTGATGAGCGTGCTGTCGAACAATCCATTCCTATGGTCGGATGCGACTCTGGAACGGGGATGTTGACCACGGGGACAATCGATGGATTGTCAGTGGAGATGCTGGTAGATACTGGAGCGGCTGTAAGCTTAGTATCTGCGGATCTAGCCAGGAAGCTGGGCTACGATCCGGATCGACTCACGGCGGATGCGCCTGGGTTGAAGTTTTGTGGGGCAGATGGTAAGCCTCTGGTGGTGAATGGAAAAGTGGTTGTTCACCTTGGCGTTCAAGGATGTGTTTGTTCGCCGGAAATGCGGGTAGTCGATGGGCTACGATTTCCATGTGTGCTGGGACGTGATGTGCTGTCCAGCATTCCCTGTAACATAACCTCTGCGAATGGCAAGCTATGTTTCAAGGTCGAAGAAAGGCGAGGGGGTGGTGCAGATGAGGCTCCGCTCCGCTTGCAGGAGAAGATTGTTCTCCCACCACACCACGAGATGACCGTGGCGGCTGTGGTGGACACTCTTGCATTCGATGGGATGCCAGAGTTGGGGCTCACGGAACCAGATTGTGGGACTGCGAGCGACCCTGGTCTCTTGGTGGCAAAGTGTGTTGTGCGGCCACAAGAGAATCGTGTTCCCGTGCGATTGATGAATTGCACGGCGGAACAAATCACTCTGCCCAAGAGAGCCCAGATTGGCAAGCTGTGTGCAGTTGCAACTGTGGTGGACGGTAGTGAAGAGTTGGACGAGGCGAATGACTGGTGTAGCTACGGGGCTAACCAGAATTTGTGGTCTGTACTGCGAGTGGGGAACCCCGATGGTGGTCCCGGCGCAGGGAAGCGCTCTCCAGGCGGGAAGAGGCTGCTTGAAACCGGTGGTGGTGATGACGATGGTCGGTCACACCATTGTGCGATGAGGGATGATGAGGCAGTACACGAGGCCGACGTTGACCAGCGTGGTCGTGGTACGATGCCTGATGGCTGTTGCTCTCAGGAGGGTAATCGGGAGGCATGCTCCCCACCTGATACAGGCAACAGCGAGCAGCCTGTGGTTGAGGCCGAGCAGTTGGCTAGGCTCAGAACCTTGGTCGAGCAGTACAGATGTGTATTCGCTATGAACATGTCCGAGCTGGGTCGGACAGACGTGTTGAAACACGAGATTAGGACTAGCTGTGATGGTCCAGTTTATGAGCCCGCAAGGAGATTGCCTTGGAGCTCGCGAGAAACATGTCGGAAGTTGGTTGACGACATGCTTGAACAGGGTGTGATCAAAGAATCGGTCAGTCCATGGTCTTCACCAGTTGTGTTGGTGCGGAAGAAGGACGGATCGACGAGGTTCTGTGTTGATTATCGGAGAGTCAATGCAATAACCGTGAAAGATCCATACCCACTCCCGCGTATTGATGATACGTTGGACGCGTTGGGCGGTGCGATGTACTTCTCGACGCTTGATCTGTGCTCTGGGTATCATCAGATGCCAATGGACGAGGCAGACAAGGCCAAGACGGCATTTTCCACGCCTGATGGGCACTATGAGTTCAATGTGATGCCATTTGGTGTGTGCAATGGCCCGAGCTCATTTCAACGGCTGATGAGTGCCGTTTTGCGAGGTTTGCAGTGGCAGATGTGCCTGGTATACCTCGATGATATTATCGTGTTCTCAAAGACGTTTGACGAACACTTGGAACGACTGGAAGCAGTGTTCCAAAGACTACTGGAGGCTGGTCTTCGGTTGAAACCCTCGAAATGTCATCTGTTGAGGACAGAAGTCAATTTCTTGGGTCATGTTGTCACGAAGGATGGTGTGCGCACCGATCCGGACAAGATTGAGACCGTGTCAGAGTGGCGGTGCCCAAAGAACGTAGCAGAGGTGCGTTCTTTTATGGGTTTCTGTGGCTACTATCGACGGTTTGTGAAGGATTTTGCATCCATTTCTCGGCCGCTGGTGAAGCTGACGAGGCAAAACCAGAGGTTTTCATGGGATGGCGAGTGTGAGATCGCATTCCAATTGCTGAAACAGAAGATGTCTTCAGCACCCACGTTGGCGTATCCGAGGTTTGAGACCGATGCGCCCCCATTTGTAGTCGATGTGGACGCAAGTGGTCATGGTTTGGGAGCTGTGTTGTCCCAGACCGACGCAGATGGTCGGGAGCGACCTATTGCGTATGCAAGCAGAGGGTTGAACTCTGCAGAGAGGAATTATGGCTCGACGAAGAGTGAACTCCTCGGACTAGTGTGGGCATTTAGGCATTTCAGATGCTATTTGCTGGGTCGAAGGTTTGTCGTGCGCACAGACCATCAAGCACTAAAATACCTGAACCGTTTCAAAGAACCAAGTGCGATCGTGGCGCGGTGGCTTGAGTTTCTGAGTGATTTCGATTACGAGGTGCGTTATCGGAAAGGTAAAGTCCATGCCAATGCTGATGGCTTGTCTCGACAAGTGCAGGATCAGAGGTGTGGCACCACAGTCCCTGATGAGGTGATCGCTGTGGTATCAGACGAAAGGAGCTCAGTGGCGAATGCTGAGTCGGTCCAGAGTGACCTTCCTACGCCCTTTGTGCGGCGACGAAACTGGACATCAGCTGATTGGGCTGATGCTCAGCAACGTGATCATGAATTGACACGGCTGAGTGAGTGGCTCAGCTCCGGGTCATCTTCGCCTGACTTGACTGGTGTGAGTCCGGCTCTGAGGCATTATTTCCGAGGACGAAAATGTCTTGTGGTGCGAGAGGACGTGATATGTCGCGTTTTGCACAGTGAGAACGCAGGAGAGGGCACAAAGTTTCAAATTTTGGTGCCAGTTGCGTTGCGTGGTCAGGTGCTGAGTGAGTACCATGATCATCTAGGTCACTTAGGTGTGACTAGAACGTATCACCAGATTCAGTCCAAGCTCTTCTGGTATGGCATGAAGAGAGATGTGGAAGACTGGATTGGTAGTTGTGCGTCGTGCAGTCGACGATCGAGACCTGTGGGACGTGGAAGTGGCGCACCACTAGAGGTCACTTGGTCGGGATATCCATTCGAGAGAGTTGGAATGGATTTGATTCCCGGATTGCCAGAGACAGATGCTGGCAACAAGCACATTTTGGTAATTGTTGACTATTTTACCAAATGGGTTGAAGCGTATCCGCTGAAAAGGATGGATGCATCCACGATAGCTTCAAAGTTTGTGAGTGAGTTTGTTGCAAGGTTTGGAGCACCGGAGAGTGTGCACACTGACCAGGGCAAAAACTTTGACTCCAGATTGTTCAGAGATGTCTGTTCAATGCTTGGTATTAAAAAGACCAGGACGACGGCTTATCACCCTGCTGGAAATGGGTTGGTAGAGCGTTTTAATCAGACATTGGAGAAGATGATTTCTCACTATGTCGATGTGCATCAGCGAGATTGGGATGTGCATTTGCCGGCGGTTTTGATGGCTTACAGAGCCACGCCTCAGGCGAGTACGGGTTACACGCCTGCGTATCTACTGTTCGGTAGACAGATGTGTCTGCCACAGGATGTCGCTTATGGCTTACCACCTGATGAGATGGTCAGCTTATGCGAGCCTAGCTACGTCAGAGATTTGAGACAAAGGCTAGCGCATGTGCATGCAGTTGTGCGGAAGAAGTTGGAAACCGTGCACAAGCATCAAGCTCACTTGCATGATTCGGGAGCAGTACCCGTTTCATTCGCAGAAGGAGATCTGGTATGGTTGTTGGTACCAGCAGTTCCGATGGGGACTACTCCGAAGTTCTCCAAGCTCTGGCAAGGGCCGTTTGAAATAGTAACGAAGTTGTCAGACGTAGTGTATCGGGTGAGAGATACACGAGCGGCCAATGTCAAGGTGCAGATTGTGCACGTGAACAGGCTAAAACGATGTAGAGTAAGGCCTAACCATCTTCACGCTGTGAGTGAGGTGGAGGAACCTGAAGATGCTGAGTCTGTCGAAACGCCCCCGGCTGATGTGTATGTGCCGGACCCTACAGACTTGTTGTATTGGGATTCTGATGAGGATGCCCAGCATGAGACGTATGGCGGCGTGGACGGTGTTGGCGGCCAACCAGTTGTGCAGATCCCGCTACCAGTCAACCAGCCACCGCCACAACCAGCCCAGATTGCGGTTCAGACTCGAGCTGGGAGGACCGTCCGGCCACCGCAGTACTTTGGAATGCAAACCCAGTTGAGAAGACGACGGTAAGCCGAATGTTGTCGCCACGAGGACGTGGCAGTCTTTTCGAAGGCGCGGGGAGATGTCATAGCCCGAGAGTGAGGGCTTGTAACTTTTAACTACTGCTGATAGCTACTGTGCGTAGAACGTGGACACACTGTGTCTTCCGGACCGTAGTTGGAACAGTTATTATACAATATAATATACGGTGTGTGCCGGCGAGGTCACCTACCCAGTGAGACTGTAAAATGATAGGTTTTGCTGCTGTCAATAGATGAAGCGCACGACTGTGCCTTTGCAGTAGAAAGTGCAATGTACCTGTAGTTATGAATTCGCTTTATAGTAGTAGTACGCTAGGTGTGGATGTGCGTGATTGCACCTGCTTGACCATTGACTGGCTATGCTTTTAATCAAGTACATGTTGCGGTCCAGACGCCGGGTCTAGGCTTGCCCCGTTCTAATACCCTTTCACACTTTGCGTATCTTATGATGACAGCCGCTTCTAGATCACGCAGACCTGTGCGTGTATGTGTGTGCGTGTGCGTGTCCGATCGCCGTTCCGCGCAGCGGACAAAGTGGCAGTTCAGCTGCATGTTTAGCAAGTACTATCGCTACTGCCGCTGCTTGCTGTTTTCTACGATGTGTTATATCATGGCATGCTGCTGCTTTTAGCGAGAGGTTCTTTCGGTGCTCTTCTTCCAAACAGGAACATATTCTCTGCTCTGACGAGATCAGTTGGTTATGTGTGTGTTGGGTTAGGACTGGGTGAAGTTGCGTTATGCCAGCCGTGACTATACTTGTCACAAAACGTTCCGAGGGTTAGAGACGACACAGCCATGGGCGAGACTAACCGGAACACGCTCCCCGAGCGAGTTATCACACATCCGCCACCAGGTGATGGACAACCCTGACCAGCCTCCCGAAGGCGTAACAGACGTCCCTCCTTCTCCTTCCAACGATGAAGAACCTCCCTCACCAGGACTTCAGAGGTCTGGCCACCACCACGTGCTGAGCACGTGTGCTGTTCATGTACTTGCTTCACCCGCATGCCATATTCGGCCAGGCAACGCTGGCCGGTGGTGCTGCTAGTAGGAAATAAAAGCCGAGGTCTTTTACGAGGCTTTTATTTCCTATATTGACCAAGTACGAAGTCAATATTAGATTTATCACGACAAACAGTCCGTGTTTCTAATTCCAGAACGATAACCTCCTGAATCCCGGTTTTATGATTGCACAACCGTTGCACCATCACCTACGAATGCAGTCACCATGCTGCACTACATACCGGTAGTAAGTAGTTAGCACCGTTCAACCGCGCAACCCCTAAGGCCTAAGCAGTCAAATATAAGCAGTCAATATAGCCCCGGCTAAGGAGTGAAATATGCAGGAATATTTGACTGCTTAGGCATGGCAAAAATATATATGAGTCAATACTAAAGGGAGTGATAAGAGTATGAAGAAGGGCTGAGGCTTCCTGCAGCTTCATCTGTGAAAAGAATTCGGGTGGACACACCCATTCCCATAGCGCTGCATTTCACATCCGAACCAGTTCCGTTATTTTACAACGTTTCGGCACTTGGCCATCATCAGGTAATAACAATGAATACCGTGGAAGCCACACAAGAGCAGTATATACGCAGAGTGTAGCGCCAAAAAAGATGCGAATTATGTCACCTAATATGACAGAGAGAGAGAAAAGGCGCAACTAGCACATCACGGAGGAGAAGCAGCAGAAGGTAGCGCGCATTGTGCTCTGTGAATGGCGTTGCGCAGAGTGTAGCGCCAAAAAAATAAAATGATGCGAGTTATGTCACCTCTATACAGAGGGGGGGGGGGAGAGAGAGAAGGTGCAACTGTGCACATCACGGAGAAGAAGAGCGCGCCGTTGTGCTCTACGAAGTGAGGGCACATGCCAAATAATTATGGTGTTAATTCTAGCACAGGATCTAGGAGGGGAGCACGGAGCCCCATGAGTCAATGCACTATGAGGTTAAAACTTCCATGCCAAACTGTTACCACCAGGGACGCGACGAGGCATCAGGAATAGAATGGTTTTGAGTGACCCGCCTCATATTATAATTATTCAGTGATATTGAAGTAGCAGCAGGGGAAGCTGAGAAAATTCACAACAAATCCCATCCGGTGCTTATGTTCACATGGGGCTTGGCATCACGAATCTCAATCGCCTCGCGCAGTTTGCGACGGGCTCGATCAGGCTCTCTTCCTATTACTTCAACTGCAGAGAATGCACTTTGCCCATAGTTAAGCTTACATCCAGGGTGAGTGGTGCGAAAATGTTGGCCCCATGGCTTGTCGAGTTCCTGGCGTCTTGCCTCACCATTATGTTCTTCCAGGCGAGTTTCCAGAAAGCGGCCAGTCTCACCAACATATTGTTCCGGACATTCTTTGCACTTCAGCTGATATACAACATTCTTCTGCATACATACATCCTGTCCCCCGGATATACACGAGATACATGGCCCCTTTGGGCGACCTCTCTTTTTCGGTTGTAGCGGATTTGCAGCCTTGACACATAGAGGAGGAACGAGGGCGGAGCGACACAATGTGCGCCTCAGGCTACCAGTGTGCTCATATACGACTCTAACCGGAATTTTATACTTTCTGATTGCTTTATTCACTGCTTGATGTACTTTATCTGACTTAAATGGAAGCTTTAGAAATGCGCAGCATGGGTTGGCATGGCGACGACGCTTTGGCCTTATGGAGGCAGTGCGTGCCTCTTCAATGATTTTCTCTGGGTAATTGTTCAATCTTAATTGCTCATGAACCATCGCTTCACTTTCTGCACGCATTCTGGTATTCGATGAGAGCCTCTGAGCTCTTAGGAATTGTGACGAAGCAACTGCCAATTTGATATGGTGGGGAACTGCCGAAGTATAATCAATGAGTAGACCACTACTAGCACATGCCTTCTGGTACAGCTTGTATGCCAGCTTGCCTTCCTGGATCATAATTGTGATATCCATATAATTTATGGAGCCACTCACCTCGCTGAGCTCATATGTGAAGTTGATACTTGGGTGTGCAGAGTTGAAATGCTGCTCAAACCGCATCAAGCTCTCTCTGCCGTGGGTCCATAGCAGCAGGATATCGTCGATGTAGCGTTTGTAGAGGAGCGGCACTAACGGAGAATCCTGCAGAAGCCTGGCCTCAACCGTATGCATGAATAGAATCGCAAATGGGGGTGCAAGATTGTTACCCATTGCAACCCCGTCCACTTGGTGATAGATCTGATGGCCGAATCTGAAATAGTTGTGGCTGAGAACAAACAGCAGCAGATTCCGTACCCCGCTCACACTCAGCCCAAACATGTCGATCCGCTGGGAATACTGCTGCAGCATATCCACCACTGCCTGAACGCCCTCCCGAATAGGTATGCTCAGATATAACCCGACTACATCCATGGACATAACAATGGTGCCATCGGGGGCGTTCAATCCCGGACATGCGTCACAGATGTGGGTTATTGCTTCCGTCGTGTTAGCCAGGTGGGCCGGGACAAATTGAATGAGCTGCTGTAGGATGCGCTCCAATACAATAGATACTCCAGTCGTTGGGCTGTCGCACGCTGCTACCACGGGTCGCAATGGTAAGTTCTGCTTATGGTCCTTTGGAAGACCGTACCACTCGGGGAACTTCGTACTGCTTGGTAGGATTGACTTTAGGAGTTTTGAATCCATGTTCTTGCACTCTGACAGTATTACTTCTCGTGTCTTGGTCTCGTAGGACTCTATGGTCAAATCTACTTTCTCATACATGGTCATGTTCGATAATATGTCTTCTGCTTTCTGCAAATACAGCTCCTGTCTCATAGCAACGAGTTTTTTACTTTTATCCGATGGTTTGATGATGGTTTCTTGGTCTGTGCGAAGTCGCTTCAGCTCCACCCGCTCCTCCTGCGTCAGATTGGGCTTAGAGGGTGTGTGTCTGTCGTAAGCTCGTAACACCTCGTCGCGGAAGTTGGCCATGTTCCTTTCGTCTTTGTCGTCCATCTGTGGGGGCTGCTTAAAGCCACGCTTCATCAGCTTCCACAATTTCTTGTCCTGTCTGATCTCTGGCGGTGGGTCCTCCTCTTTGAGGTCCACACCCTGAGGCTGGGGCTGTTGCCACCGGAGGGTGAACGCCATCCTCTCAACCGATGTCTCAACATCTGTTCGTTCTTGCTTGGTGAGCCTCCCCGTCGACGGGACAAAGCTAGGTCCATGTTCCAGATAAGAGTAGTTCCCGTATGTCACATGACTGTCGCCTTGGAGTCGACCAATGACAGATCAAATTACGCGGGCTGGAAAGCGCGATCCTGCCTAATGAGTAATGAATGGTGATGGAACTAGTTCCACTGCCCGTCGTCAAGTGACGACGGGCAGTGGACGGAATCCACTGCCCGTCGTCACTTGACGACGGGCAGTGGACAGAATCCACTGCCCGTCGTCAAGTGCCCGTCGTCACTTGACGACGGGCAGTGGACAGAATCCACTCATGAGTCTACCATTTCAATGACAAGCTTCTGTGGTCTGAAACTTGTGAAAGTACATGCAAAAGTCATGTACTGTAGTCCGTGTACGGTTGTCGAAGTCACTCTCACTCAGCTCACACAGAGTCACAGCCTCATAGTCATACAGGACTCGAGTCGAGTCACAGAATGGTTCATGTAAACTCAAACGTCAAAGATTGTGAGTGATCTCCTTGCCTTGGCTTGGGTGCATACGGGAAACACGTTCCAGTCACTCATACTCGGTCAGTACCGCTGCTCATCCAGCCCTTGCCGCTATCGCGGCGCGGGCTGGATTCCGCGGTACTGCCCTCATACTCGTGCAGGAACCTGTACATACTAGATTCTACGGAGCAGGTCTACAGCCTGCAGGACGAACCTTTCGGATTGATGCACGTAATCGTTCTCAATCTCACTCCACTGACTGCAGTCTACACTAGTCTTGTACCTGTCCGTCCACAGAGGCACATGTGCACAGCTAAGCTGCTTGCAGTCGATGTAGATCTACGCGGTGAGAGTAGCGGGGGCCAGCGGGCCCAAAACAATGAACAGGACTCAGCCTCAGGATCTATCCAGCCAGTACTACTAGTTCTACTTCTAGGACGGGAGTTTGCCTATGTCTATGATGATTTGTGCAAGTATTAGTTGTGGACAGTCTCCTTGTTCATGGTTCAGAGAGAGCAGATCTACACAAATGACTGTCATGTAGACAGACATGACAGCTCAGCTGGCCAGCGTTTGTTGATTTGATCTGATTTTTATTTTCTTGTTGGCCCGCGATACGAGTAACGGACGGTACGGGTGCATAGTCGATGAGAAACCTTCAAGCCAGAGAAAGTGACACCGAGTCCGACATGTAGATCTACAGACTACAGTCAATACGGAGCATCAGCAAATCGAATATTCGAATGAAATTCGAGAATCGTCACGAAAAGCACTCAATCAGTCGAAACTAGGGCTTTGTTCGACTGAAAAATGCCCGCAAACAGAAAATACTTTTCGAATACTTTTCGAATGCTCCGCGCGTGCTCTAGTACACGGCGCACTACGAGTACTCATTCTTGCGCATGTAGCTACTAGTTCTTACTAAAGTACTAATACTAGTCAGGACTTCTTGTCAATCTTGACGCTTTCCTCTCTCTCGAACTGTGAAACGTTTTATCAAGTGTGCATTTTGTTTCATTTCAAGTATCCTGGAATCATGGCTTTGTCACCAACTACCAGCCCTGGTATGCCTCCTGCTCCCAGTACTGCAGTAGCCCTGCTGGCGTTGTCTCGGCATCTGCGTCTATCGTGAGTTCCCCGCAGGGAGAGGGCAACTCAAAGTGTGCCAAATATTTGAGGGTCGACCTTACCATGGATCTCATTCTGCTGAGGCAGTGTAGGGCCCACCCTCACCTATTCGTCCGCAAATCTCCTGATATGCAAGGGATAGCGGAGGAGCTCGGCCGAGATCCGCCTTTTCAAGGGGTCTCCAAGAGAGATCCTATCGCCAATAGCCTGAATCGGATGAAGCATCCGCCGCTTCGCGTCATCCCCAAAGGCAATGAGAAACAACAGCAACTCCGTTCATTGCACATCCCAAAATCCCAGTCCTCAACTGCTCAAGCTAAAAAAAACTCGATTCGAAAATACTGGACTGCGCTACATGCTGAACCTCTTTTTCATTCGAATTTTCTCTCTGATTTTCTTTTTGCCATTCGAATAATCAAATCGAAAATTCGATTTGCTGATGCTCCGTATTAGTCAGTAGGATGGGTTTATAGTGTGATCGCTTGATGCCATTGCGAAAATGAATGGTCGTCAGTGCATTGTCGATTCTACATGTATCTAACGCCGGTAACGGTAGATAGAATCGACAATGCACTGACGTGACGATGGTCGCCGGACGCCGCCACGGCCACGCCTCCGTCATACCCACACTAACGACATTGTACAACAGTGTATAAGTAGGTGTAAGTCGCACTACGATGTCCGTCTGGAATATTATTATTTTTTTGTCTATCGAAACCAGCCGTTGCAACAGACTACAGTGCAGACAGCTACAACAAATCCAAAGCACATCAAATAATAGATGATATGCCAAATAAGCCCTCGAAAAGTTGAGAGGGCATCCGATTGATGCGCCCAGGCTTAGCTTGTCAAGTGCACGGGATGTGCAAAGTACACGGATTTTAGGCTTGTCGCGTGCTTATGTGATCAGGTGCTGCATGTGCATGAATGGAATGCATGCAGTTCCACCAATACTAGTTTTAGCACTTCCTTCGGCATTGAGATTACTGAAAAATTAAAGCTGTAAATCTGGATAGAAGAAACAGTTTTGCTTGCTTTATAGCGGCTGGAGTGATTTTTCGCTGTCTTGTTTTCGGATGCCGACTAACCACGACCATTGCTGTGTTCCAGGATGTACTGGTGACCGGCGTTACTCCCCAGCCCCAGCAAATGGTATTCGTCTTTTCCATAAATTTCCATCATCCTGAACTGTGAAGGAAATGGACTGTTGCTATTCGAAGGGAGGAAAGAGAAGGAGAGTAAAAAAAAAGGTGACACTACAGTGGTGTGATCTGACCATTTCTTGCCAGAAGATTACGTACAAGGGGAGAAAATCGCCAGAGCAAGACTGGTAAAACATTTTGTATCTGGAGTTTTCGATCTGGTCCACCAAGACAACAGCGGCTGATGCTAACCGGCGTCGCTCTACCTCGTGTCGCGAGCTACTGCACAGGAGCTGCCTGAAGACATACGACTCATACCTAGTGATATCCCAGGCATACTGTCCCTACGCTGGAGGAAGCATTCGACAGTATTCAATGCAATGGGTGACTGCAAGAATAAAGTAGCAAGATTGAGCGAAATGACTAACAGTCGCATGTTTTGAGTTCTAGTATCCAGATTCAAAGACAAGGCATCATATCAGTAACCTTGCACAACACACTCATTCGACGCTTCAAGCGGAGTCTCAAGATAACATTTGGCTACCCAGCAGCCACCATTTGTCACCGCCACAAAATATTCCAGTCGCCATCCATTATAACCTTAAAATAATTATTTCGCCTTCTTTTTGCCTTGTTTTATAAATGTGTGCATTGCCGCCACAGCCCCCTCTTTGCAGAGTTTCCTTTGTTTTTAGGTCAAATATTCACCCTACGCTGCATGGCTACGGAAGCCTTGACCAGGGGATAGTACACCCTCTCTTTAGCCCGACCTAATGCTTCTTCACGACATGGCTTCTCTTTGCAAAACATGCAAGTACCTGGTCTCTGATAGCTGGAGTTTTCTTCCATCTGGGTGCTGCTAGGCAGCCTCCTTCGTCATGCCGCAGAGGCTGCGTAGAAGGCTGTTATGTTATAACAACCTTCTACGTAAATTCCTTAGCAATAGGTAATGGCGTAGTATGCAGCCTCGGTTTTTCATTCAACTTTGTTTTACCCACTTACCTCGAGCACCCTGTAAAAAGGCGTATTGTCTGCAGGGATTGCCCTAGTAAAATAATAAATACAATACAAATAGAACAACTCCTATTTGTGCTGGCCCTGACTAATAGCGAAAGCACATGAGAAACTGGTTGCCTGGAGCAATGACGGAAGAAACGCTGATCTCACTCGGGTGAGGGATGAGGTGAAACCGCGAAGCAGTCAGGGTCTTGCTTCTCAGCCTATGCCATATGCCGCTGCCAAGCTGCCGTTGGGTACGGCGCTCTATTGCTATTGTCTCTGTTAGGAGCACCTTCTCTGTGATGTGGGATAAGGAAGGCGGGATTTCCCAGTACAAAGGCAAATCAATGTTGCCAGTGTCAGTATGCCCAGGTGGTTGATAAGGGGTTTTCATAACTACGTTCCTTGGCCCTTGGGCCCCATTGCTGTTGTTGCTAGGCTGCATATGCCAGGTATCGACCTTTCACCTCACAATAGTTGAGGGTCAGCAGCAATGCAACAATGACTATGTGGTGGAAGGAGCATGCAATGCTGCAGTGCAAGTGCAATATGCAGACATCACTTCGAGTACATGCTTTTCTCTAGTTTAGCACTGTAGCACACACTTAGCTCTCCTTCTTCTTTTGAGATGCCCAACACTTTGCCTTGACAAAGTATCTCTGCGGTCCAGAATTATTTGGCTCTGGGAAGCAACACTCAACACTGTAAACGAATGGCGAGAAGAAGGACTCATCCCCGAATGGTTTCTGTGTCGTTAGGTATCTTTCTCGATTCTGAAGATGCTGGAGTACAGCACTAGCAGAAACACCACATAGCTAATCATCCGAGCGATGGGTCCAGGCCTCGGAGGGAAATTCTGCGTCTGTTTTTTCTTCACCGGAGAAGCAGCTTCTTCTGTTCCCGATGCAGATGGTGTCAAGGTATTTGCTGCTGTAGCGACCAGTGAAGGAGGAACGGATTTTCATCGCCCTTTCGCTGCTCGGCGCCGACTGCCATCATTGTCCCCTGTCCTAGGCTCTGGGGCGTTGGGAATAAAATAAAATCTTTCGGTCTTACCTCTGCAACAAATCATCTCGCTTTCCATCTACCGGTATCTCTCACTCACGTAAGTATTCAGCTGAGCAAAAGTCCATCTAGCAATCGTTTCGCCCACAGGTGGGTTCGCAAAACGAGAAGCAATTGCTGGTGTACTATTTCTTGCTGC